TGAGATAGATAGTAGTTAGGGTACCCGAAGAGATCTTGAGGCTGACAGCTGTTCCAAGTGAAGCTGCCTTCTGCAATTGACTGATGGAAAATTTGTCAATGCCTATGGTGTTCAAGTGGTACTCCAGTTGTTTATGTTGTTCAAGTGGTACTCCACCCAAGGCACCTATTACTATTGGTACTACCCTTGCTTGCCTTTGCCATAGTTGTTCTATTTCTATTTGTAGGTCTTTGTATTTTGTTATCTTCTCCAGTTCTTTCTCTTCTCTTCTGCTGTCTCCAGGCACTACCACATCCACTATCCAGACTTTTTTGTCTTTTTTATCTACAACTGTCAAGTCTAGAGTGTTATGTGGCAGGTGCCTGTCTGTCTGGATTCTGAAGTCCTGGAGCAATTTAACTTTTTCATTTTCTATGACTTTTTCTATTTTTTATCAGTTCTTGCTACAGACAAATGATATTTCTTGCAGATCTTCTAATGCACCATTGCTGCTGTTCTATATTAACATTCTTGAAAACCTGAATTCTGATTGGTCCACATGGACCGCAATCTGATTGGCTAACTTGACCACTGCGATTGGTGCGCCGAGAACCTTCCGCAATTGGCCGAGCCAATCGTGGGAGATTCAAAGCCCTGTCATTGGCCACCGAGCCGCCGGCCGGCTCTATAAGAAAAGCCATGCGGCTCGCAGGTCCTGTAAGAAACTGTATACTTCAATAAAGAGTTGAAGTTCACTTTGTGTCTCGCGTCTCAATGAACCCGATCTACTCGATCTAACAGTTGCTACTTTGTCATGCTGTTGCTTGTAGTCAGTTTGTGCAGTTTCTTGCAGCAGCTTACCAGGTGGTCCACTGTTTCTCCAGCTTCTTTGCATAGGCGGCACTTACTGTCTGTTCCTGTCTTCTCAATTTTGGCTTTGTATACATTTGTCCTTAGGGCTTGGTCTTGCACAGCCAGAATTAATTCCTCGGTCTCTTTCTTTAACTCTTAGCCATTGCCAGGTCTTCTTGTTATCTGCTTTCCCTGCTATTTTTTAATGTATAGGCCATGTAGTGCTTTGTCTTCCCATGCCTCCATTCTGTTCTTCATTTGGTCTTTCTTGTAGACCAGTTTGATCTCAGGAAGCCTTCCTGGCATATTAACTTCAGTGCATCTTCTTCATCATCCTTCAGATATTCTTTCAAAGCCCTTTTTTCTTCTTCAATTATCTGTTGTTGTTGTTGTTGTTAATTGCACAGTCAGCCAGATGTTGAGACTGGGTTTGGCATTTTTGTCTATCTATCAAGTCCTTACCAAGGACTTGGAACAGGCAGATGTGGGTGTTACAGATATCACTGCAGGATGTACTGAGTAAAGCCGCCTTTTGCAATTGATTGATGGAAAATTTGTTAATGCCAATGATGTTTCAAGCGGTGCTCCGATTGTTTTGGAATTTCATCCAAGGCACCTTATTATTATTGGTACTACCCTTGCTTACCTTTGCCATAGTTGTTCTATTTCTATGTCTTTTTATTTTGTTATCTTCTCTAGTTTTTTCTCTTCTATTTTTCTGTTTCCAGGCATTGCCAATCATTATTATTGTCGTTGTTGTCATCATCATTGTGATCATCATTTTTATTGCTACTGCTGTCACCACAAATGTCAGGCCAGTAGATAACAAGAAATGCATTTCAATAATATTTGAGCAGATATTGTTTAGGGTTTCAAATTATTAGGAAATCTCAAGACTATATCTTAGTCTGGCAAGATGATATGCTGGAAGAAGGAAGCCCTTTTGCATTATTGCCAAGAAAACAAGTCAGATATGTACATGTAGTCAGAGGATTTGAACTTAGCTCTTGGGAGAGTTTGATCATAAATCTATGCCAATACTATGAAATAAGTTTGCAATAGGCACCCAGTGCAAATCACCAAGAATAGGTGTGATAAAACATTGATCACATCCATGAAAAAATAGCCAACACAGCATTCTGCACTACCTGAAATCATAGAATTGTCTTCAAGGAAAGTCCCATGCAAAATGACTGATTGTTACTATCTCAATATAAGCTTATAATTTTCCCATGGTCAAAATTTTATCTTAGCACTTGCCTTTTCTTGTAATCTTGTAACAGTTTCTTAATTGATATGAACTAATTGCTATGTGATGAGGACAGGGTTTTTTTTTTTTTTGGTGGGCATTATTCCTCTCTGAATTTGATTAGTCATTGGCTCCCTTGTATTGATTGCTGTTTCTTTAAAAATTTGTTTGTTTTTTAACTGTAACTGTCCTATTTGTGTTATTTTTAAAAATAAAAAACAGTATAGATTTTTTTAAAACAAATGGTGGCAAATATCATTTCTATGACCAAGGATATTCTGCAGTTTAGGATTGAGCCCCTAGGTGTCACTATTTACCACTGAGGAACAAAAATGTAAGAATGAGCCACTCCAGCTTTCTCAATATATTAAAGCACACCAAAGCATAGATAGGCGACAGTGAAACAGAAGCATATTTTGCTTCCAAACCTGGATACAATATATTTTCAACTGGAACTTGAGACAGCACAAAAGAGCCTCAGCAGTCAGTAAGTACTATCAAAAGAGCTTTTAATCCTGAGTGGGTGCTATTTATATTGTAGCAAAACAATGAAGAAAACAAAGAGATTATGGAATTATGAACAGAGACTTCTGCAATACTTTATTGTGATGTTTGTTTGGGAAGCAGTTTCTGGGCAGATCCATTATTCCATTCCTGAAGAGATGCCAAAAGGTACTTTTGTAGGGAATATTGCAAAGGATCTGGGAATGGATGGAAAGCAACTTTTAGATCATGGACTTCGTGTCATCATTAAGGCAGGTACAATTCAATATTTTATTCTGAATGTCAACCGTGGGCATTTAGAAATTTCCCAATTAATAGACAGAGAGAAAATATGCAAAGAGACAGAAAAATGCATAATAAAATTCCAGATGCTTATTGAAAGTAAACTAAAGCTTTATGGAATTGAAGTAGAAATCACAGATATAAACGACAATGCTCCTCAATTTCTCTCAAAGGAATGGACAATGAAAATCAGTGAGATGTCAGCATTAAAAGAACAATTTCCTCTACCAAAAGCTCAAGATCCAGACCTGGGGATAAATTCTGTGCAAAACTACCAACTCACAGGTAGTAACCATTTCTCTCTGGAAATGCAAAGAGGTGAAACCAGATCTACCAAACTGGTGTTGGAAAAATCACTGGACAGGGAACAGCAATCAGTTTATGATTTGATCCTTACAGCTTTTGATGGTGGTGATCCCATTAGGTCTGGCATAGTACAGATTCATATCATTGTTCTAGATGCAAATGATAATGTACCAGTTTTCAGCCAACAAGTCTATGAAGTGAATCTCAAAGAGAACATGCCCAAAGCATCCGTAATAGCTACAGTAACAGCTGTTGATATGGATGAAGGAATCAATGGAGAAGTAAAATATTCTTTTGAGGAAATAAACAAGAACAATAAAAAAATGTTCCTATTAAATTCAACTTCAGGGGAAATTATCCTTGTGGGGAGCCTTGATTTTGAAACATCATCAAGATATGAAGTTGAAGTGCAAGCCATGGATGGGGGAGGACTGAGTGATAGGTCAAAGGTTGTGATTTTGGTTACAGACTTAAATGATAATGCACCTGAGTTAGCCATCACCTTTCTGATCAACTCGGTGCCTGAGAACTCTCCAGCTGGAACAGTCATTGCCATTTTAAATGCCCAAGACAGAGATTCAGGAGACAACGGAGAGATTAAATGCTCAATTCCCAGCAACCTCCCTTTTCGGCTCAAGAAAACGATGGAGAGTTTCTACAGTTTAGAAACAGACAAAGCCCTCGACAGGGAACTCTTGCCAACTTACTCTATCACTGTTACAGCGGTGGATGACGGGGCACCACCACTCTCTACGTCTGTGGTTATTTCACTCCAGGTATTAGACATAAATGACAACCCTCCACTGTTTCTGGAGTCAAAATATACCTCCTACCTTCTAGAAAATAATCCAAAAGGTGCCTCAGTCTTTTCCCTTAAAGCAAGTGATCCAGACTGGGAAGAAAATGCCAGAATAACTTACTCCATCATTGATAGCCCAATGCGGGACTCACCCCTTTCCTCCTACCTCTCCATTAATTCTGAGACAGGGACCATCTATGCCCTAAGCTCCTTGGACTATGAGGAGATTCAAGAGATTCAGTTCCATGTCAAGGCTCAGGATGGTGGATCCCCATCTCTCAACTCTAATGTCTCAGTGACTCTCTTCATCTTGGACCAGAATGACAATGTGCCAGAGATCCTGTACCCCTCTCCTCCCGCTGATGGCTCCACTGGAATAGAGCTGGCCCCTCGCTCTTCTGAGCCAGGTTACCTGATCACTAAAGTAGTGGCAGTAGATGCAGATTCTGGCCAGAATTCCTGGCTCTCCTATCAGCTGATCAGAGCAACAGAACCAGGGCTCTTCACCGTGGGACTCCACACGGGCGAGATCAGGACTGCTCGGCTTTTTCTGGAGAAAGATGCCCTGAAGCAAATCCTGGTGGTTTTAGTGAAGGACAACGGCCAACCACCTCTCTCTGCCTCCGTCACTCTCACGGTTGTTCTGGCTGACAGCATTCCTGAAAGTCTCTCAGATCTGAGCAACATCTCAGCTCCTGTAGATCCTCAGTCAGACCTCACATTTTATTTGGTGATCGGTGTGGTGTTTGTCTCCTGCTTGTTTTTTACATTCCTCCTTGTCTTATTGACCATCAGGCTGTACAGGTGGAAGAATTCAAAATTGTTAGAGTCAGGAAGTGTACATTTTAGTGGAGTCCCAGTGTCACAATTTGTTGGGATGGATGGAGTCCGAGCCTTCCTTCAGTCTTACTGCCACACTATTTCACTCACTAGAGATTCTAGAAAAAGCCACTGCAATTTTCATGAGGAAAACTGTTCAAATACTCTAACCAATCAACCTCTGACCTGTGGGATGAGTGATTCTATCCTAGCCTGTGGGGATTTAAATTTGAAGAATGATGAACAAATCTTAGTCAAGGTGAGTTTAATATTTCAAAGTAATAGTGTGTTTTGTTGATCCTATAAGCCCTTATTTATCTCAACAGTGATTTCCCATCAGTCTGTTTTCTCTAATGAAGCTTAATACTAGGTATTTTAAATGTCTGATTTTGTATTCCTTGTAAAAATCTGTTTGTTTACCATATTGGTCATATGAAATTTCTGTGGAATTGGTTCAGGTTATTATACTCACAGGATCATTGATGTGAAAATACTATGTTTTTAGAAATGTATTAGATTTTCTTAATACATTTTATCTTTTATATGAAAACCTTATTTGAAAGACATAGACATAATATTTTAAGCATGTCACTCTTCTCCCTTTTAATTTATGTTTTAATTTTCTAGGGATATTATAGAACAGAGGAAAGAAAATACGTAGCATAATTTATCCCACTTTAGATTAATGTTAGGTGACAGGAATATTTTCTTTCAGATGTCTAACTGCATTACATTCATATTCTCCCTACTGAATATTCTCTTGGTAACGTATCTTCAGCTGTCTCATGTTGTTTCTAAGAAGTCTGGATTGTAAAATGGCTCAAACCTGCTTCCTTATTAACTCTGAGGAGAATTTCAAGAAAACTATGACTGTTGTAAAGATTATTGAAGAAGAAAATGCCATAAAAATAACAGTTCCCAAATGTTATTGGTTCTCTAATTTTATTGCACTGCCTCTAGGCTAAACAAGATGTCTAACTAATATATTTCCCACAAAAAATTAAAGTATCCCATGACATCCCTGTAGGTTTATTGTAGTGCGCTGAAACACTACTTGCATACAGTTTGGGAATTATGTATGTAAACAAATGGCATCTCCTATACGGCCTCCAGTTTTTTAAGTTATGTTGTTACTTAGTGCAACACAGGAGAAATTATATTTCCAGAAACTGGCCATTTTAATGTAAAGATATTCCTGTACAGTAGGTAATCATATCAGCAGTGAATGTATATGATTTATAGATGGTGCCCATGTTATAGATAGTGTCAGTGCACTCAGTTTAAAATTGCATTACTTTCTTGACTTGGAGAAATTCAGTAAGTTTGCAAGCCATTAAAATAATGATAATGATGGATCTGAAACACAGCTGACACTATTTTCAATAGTTTTGGAAAATTTTGGATTTAATCTACTGGAACCACGAGTTTAATCTATTGGAATAAATAAGTCCATTTATGTATTGCTGCCTCCCCATGCCCCCAACAAAGCGCATTGTGACTGCTTTTGTGTCTACATCAAATTAGTCCTACGTGAGGGAACATTTGGTATAAGTAACCTTGTTATACTTGCAATAGAAAAGAGCCTCTCCAGAGCCCTCCAGTTTGAGGTAGCCACTACTTTGAGAACTGTGTAGGAATTAGCAGACTGAGTTTTTGTACATGTGCATTTTGCCCTTGTTCCCTGTCACTGACTTCCTACTTAATTAACTGATCAATCTGAACTTGGATAAACAATATCTCCTTATTTCCAGGCCAGGGGAATATCTCAGTTTGGTCAGCTTCCTATTTCTGGATTTCTGGATGCACCTGTATTAATTCAAAAGCAAGCAACTATACTTTTTAAAGAAATAGATTACAGTTTATTTTATTTTGCCTAGATAAAATATTGAGTTTAACATTTTCACTTGTTTGCTTAAAAACAAACTTCTTTGGAAGATATGTTCCATTGAATTTGATTGGCAAAAGCTTGATTGAACTTAAAGGACTCATTACTATTGTAGAAAGTTAGCACCTACCCCTCTCCTAGAAGAATGAAATATATTGAGAAATATTAAAAAGGCAGAATATTATATTTCACTGGATGAGAAATGGAGAAACATGCGCTTGGAAAGCAGCCCCCACCTTTTTTTAATAGCCTCAGCAGTTGTCAGCACTTAAGAGATAAAGAGGTACATGGCACCATAGGAGTCTGACAACAGCCAATAGAATACATATTCTTGCACAGAAACAGGAAGTTCAAGTGCAAAGCCCAAGAGAAAGTATAAAAACCCTTCACTCTTAAGTCCATGTGGTCAGCTGCCCAGAACCACCCACATGCTTCTGCTTCATCAATAAATGGATCCTCATTCAATCAGCCTCCATTTTGTCTCCAGTGCCTTTCTCCCAGCTTGGAACTGAACCAGATGAATATTTTTTCCAACACTATCCAATGCCTTCAATTAAATCAGGAGGATTTATTTCATAGGTTTAGGATGAATGCTGAAATTCAGTATTCGCTCTCTAACTCACACATTGTACAAACATTTCTGTAGCACAAATGCTATGGAAATGGAATAAGAAATAAATACGTGGAACTTATTCTTGGAATTAAATACTAGATGTAGATTTATTAGTAAGAATTATGAGTTTATAGTCATCTTGATGGTTTATTTGTTTATATAGTAATCTATATCCCAACTGCTAGTTGATTAATTGTGGGCTTTGACTTTCAAGTGCATATTGTTGCTTACTGAAAATCATAATTCTTCTACTCACTTGAGTATCTTGATGTTCTCCTCATCTTCTACTCTTCAAGAATTAAGAATGTGAAATCCAGGTTGTGACTGTTCATTTCGTGAAAAATAATTAGGTACCCCACTTCCATTTGTCAGAAAATTAAAACAATGTCAAAAAAATGTATACCATTTGCTCAGCAATAGATGTTACCATGCCACTGAAAAATCATTAAATTAGTTACAGCTTGAATAATATTCTATGTTTTTTGTAACAAAAAAATCGCATGAAATTAAAAGGAAATGCAGTTCACAGTATAGACTCAGGATGTCACTATAGGACAATAACAGCCTTGGATCAGTCCTCTATTCTTCTGCAGCTGTATCCTGACAGTTGCATTTCACTTGACTGGAAAAGATGCAGCAGAAAGCTTTATTCTAAAAGGTGTTCCGGAAAAAACATTTTCCTCCATGAAAGTTTATTCTTTCCTCCAATATTATTGCTAAATAGTGTGAAATTGGAAGCTATTACACTAAGAAGAAAAAAACAAACAAGAAAGACAATGACAGCAATGGAAGCAAGCTACATAAAGGGAATAAAGGAACTCAATTTGAGGCAAGTACTTTTTCTGTTCATATTCTGGGATTTGGTTAATTGTGGGATACCTGAACAGGTTCAGTACTCACTTTCAGAAGAAACTGAAAAAAAATCCTTTGTGGGGAACCTTGCTAAAGATTTAGAGCTGGATGTCAAACAGTTATCAAAATGCAGACTTGCTGTCTCTTCAGAAAAAGAATATTTTGCTTTCAATGAGCAAAGTGGTGATCTATATGTGAATGACAGAATAGATCGGGAAAAGATTTGTGGAAACTCAGCTATTTGTATGCTGCAGTTAGAAGTTGTGGCACATAATCCTTTGAATATTTTCCACATAAAAGTTTTCATTCTAGATATTAATGATAATGCTCCATATTTCCGAAAGAAAAATATCAGTCTCAATTTGAGTGAGTCTCATTTGCCAGGAGCTCGATTTGCCCTGGGAAATGCTGAAGACAAGGACATTGGAATCAACGCCCTTCAAGGTTATCATTTGAGCTCAACCCCGTATTTCAAGCTAGAAGTTCAAGAGAGCAAAGATGGCAGAAAATATGCAGAATTAATTTTGCAAAAGCCATTGGACAGGGAGAAAGAGCACACACACCACTTGATTCTTACAGCTTCAGATGGAGGACGTCCAGTGAAAACTGGGACTCTTAATATAGAAGTCAATGTTATTGATATAAATGACAATCCACCAGTCTTCTCCCAGGCAACTTACAAAACAAGTCTGAAAGAGAATACACCAAGAGGGACTTCTGTGCTTCAAGTGAAAGCATCTGATAGTGATGAAGGGTCAAATGCTGAGATATCTTATATTTTCTGGGAAAATCCAGAAAATGTGAATCAGAATTTTATTTTGGATCCCATCGATGGAACACTTTCACTTAAGGAAAGTATTGATTTTGAAGACAGAGGAAGCTATATGATGATAATACGGGCAAGTGATGGAGGTGGACTAGTTGCAGATTGCAGTGTAGAGATTGAGGTTCTTGATGAGAATGACAATGCTCCAGAAGTAATTATTACATCTCTATCCAGCCCCATTCTTGAAGATATTTTACCTGGTGCAGTGATTGCCCTCATTAAAGTCAATGACAGAGATTCTGGACTTAATGGGAAAGTCACCTGCTACCTAAGGGAAACTGTACCTTTCCAGGTGGTCTCATCATCAGATAACTACTTCAAACTCCTCATAGATGGCCCCCTTGACAGAGAAAAAACACCAGTGTATAACTTAACAATTACAGCCACAGACCAAGGCATACCTCCTCTTTCTACAGATAAAGCCATCTCAGTACCAATTTCAGATATCAATGATAACCCTCCAGCATTTGAAAAACCTTCCTATGTTGCCTACGTTCCCGAGAACAACCCATCCGGAATGTCTATTTTCCAGGTTAAGGCTTTTGACCCCGATCTGGATCGTAATGCTCAAATCACCTACTCCATTCTTAACAGCAACGTCAAGGACCTGCCTCTCTCCTCCTATGTTTCCATTAACTCTGAGACTGGAACTCTCTACGCTCAACGATCTTTTGACTATGAGCAGCTCAGAGACTTCCAGCTGCAAGTGCAAGCCCAGGATGAAGGCTCTCCATCTCTCAACAGCAGCGTCACAGTCAAAGTGCATGTACTGGATCAGAATGATAATACTCCCCAGATCCTGTACCCTTCCCAAACAACTCAGGGTTCATCATTCTTTGAGATGGTGCCTCGCTCAGCCGATTCAGGTTATTTGGTGACAAAAGTCGTGGCTGTGGATGCTGACTCTGGACACAATGCCTGGCTCTCTTTTCATCTCCTGCAGGCCACAGAGCCCTCGCTCTTCATCATCGGCTCCCACACGGGAGAGATCCAAACAGCTCGAGCATTACTTGAGAGAGACATTACCAAGCAGAGGCTGGTCATCATGGTGAGGGATAACGGACAGCCACCTCTCTCAGCCACCACGAGCCTCAACCTGGTCTTTGCTCAGAACTTCCAGGAGGCTCTTCCTGAAATGAATGCCCAACCTAATAACTCAGAGGATCCGTCCAAGCTGCAGTTTTACTTGGTTCTGACTTTGACTTTGGTATCCTTTCTGTTCCTGGTGGCAGTGATTTTGGCTATTATTATGAAACTTCAAGGGTCAAGGAACCCCACTTTTTTTCAATGCTTCATTCCCAATTCTCATTCAAAGACTGGTACTGTATTTCCTCCAAATTACGAAGATGGGACTTTGCCTTATTCTTATCAGATCTGTTTATCAACTGAGTCCAGGAGAAATGAGCTGACTGTTCTGCGACCCAACGTCCAAATAGTGGAGAATATTCTTTGTGAGGATAAACCTGATACCTCTGTTATGGTCAGTGAAGGTAAAATTTTTGATTCTGGAAAGGGCATGGTGAGTTTTATTCATTTTCTTTATAAATTAAGATCAAACTCTAATATTTGTTTCCATTTTGTTGATACTGTTATAAATATAATTCAAGCAAATATGATTGATTTATCATTATCAATTATTTGTTAAATGTTGGATTCATTTCAGACTTCAATGTCTGTTTTGCTTCAGTTTATTAAGTTGATGTTGCACTGAATATTATATGTAAAATTAATAAAATTATATATGAATTATAAGTCATGCAACATAATTATTATATATTTAGCTAATATTTATAGTAGTAATATTTGTGTTAGATGTAACATTGTAATGATCTGTGTTTGCCTTTAAATGCCATTTCTTCTAAAATTAGAAGCACTCAAATGAGAATATTGTCATTGATACCTTCTACTTCTGAATTGATTTCAATAAAATTAAAAGATAAATGTTTATTTTATGTGGGATGACCATTTCCTTTCAGAAGGAAAAACTCTAAAAAGAACATTAATTTTGTTTTGCCTTATATATTTATCACCATTCTAGGCAGGGGTGGTATTCTACCGGTTCAGTCCAGTTTGGCCGAACCAGTAGCTCTGAGGATCATCTGTGAGCAAACCAGTTTGCTCTGACGATCAGCTGCTGGGCCTGCCTGCCCACCCTGGCTCTATACTGACCTTTATTTCTTGGTGGTGAAGCTCAGCTGCTTCATGCGGCACAGCAGATTGCCGTGCATCAGCTGCTGAACACAGAGAGAGAGTGCAGGATTGCAGGAGAAGGTCAGTATCAAAACCTCTGTGTGTATGTATGCACACACGAAGCACGCCCACCAAGCCACGCCCACAGAACCGGTGTTAAAAAACGTTGAATCCCACCACTGATTCTAGGAGTGGTGACAATCAAAATATTTTAAATCAAAATTCCTTTCTCTTCTATTGGAACCATAATAGTTTTCCCAGATCTGCAATCCCATAGGTAACCAGTTTATCTCAGTCAGGCAATAAAAATTATCATTCTTCTTTATCGTCCTTTCCTTATGAGTCATCAGAAGGCAAATACAGTTTTTATTAGCAGCAAAAAAGTTAATATTTTGAAAAGTTAAAATAATGTTCAGATAATATTGTGTAATAAATAGATACACATATGATTACACCTTAATCCTTCTCAAGGATTGAAAAATTCCAAATTACATCACCTTTTTTCCTTCCAATCCTAAGGTAATTTGGTGGAAGAGGAGAGGACATTTTTGTCTCTTTGCTTGTTTGTTTTTCTTTTTCTTTGCCTTTTTCAGGTTGTTAAGGGCACTTAAAACATTTGCTTTTCTCTCACCCATTTGTTTGATCATATATCCTAACATTCATCATTTGGGGAGCCAGTTTATTTGATTGATTGATTGATTGATTGATTGTACATCAAGTCTTAGTAGCCACCTAGATAAACTTCCTTCATGACAATCTGACCTTAACATACTCTTGGTCTTCTAATGGCGCACTTGTCAACCACTATATCTTGACTGTATCTCAATACCACTGCATTTTGACTGTAACTGAATCCACTTACCTTGCTGCTGGTTGTTCTCTTTTTTTCTTTTCTTTTCATCCTGTTTTCACATAGCACTAGAGCTTTCTCTGGAGAGTGAGGTCTTTGCATATAATATGTCCAAATTTGGATAATTTGAACCTGATCATTTGTATCTCTCATTAAAAACTCTGGATTGATTGGACCAATTTAGTAAAAGTAAATAAAAGACCTTTGCATTTTTTGCACAAATGATTAAGAGAAGTTCTGTACCCATTCCATATCTAAATTATTTATCAGAGTGCTACTGTTGCTCTAAAATATCAAAACTGAGCGGGAGACTATCTGCTGTAATCATACTAATAAGGCTGGAAAGGATGCATCATCAAAAGATAAAAGATAAAACCATTTTATTTGTTCTTGGGTTTTATTTCTTCTCCACCCAAATCATAAATTCCACAGTTTTTAAAGGCTGATCTATACTTGAGTTTGCAGGCTTTTGGTTATCAACAAGAGCAAATTCTTCAGCATGATTTCCATCAGTTTCATTTATTTTTTACTAAAATATGGAATAATATCTAAGGATGAGTCACAATATACACAGATATATATATGACTTATGACACAATTGGGACCAGAATCTCAGTCAATGAGCAAAATAGTCAGTAAACAAGATTCCCATGTAACTGCTTCACTCAGCAACTGCAATCCTAGCACTTGTGATGGCAATTTCATGTGTCATTAAATGGACGCTGTCCCAGGTAAGGAATGGAGGGTACCTTAAGGGGAGCGGGAGACCAAGGGAAGTCTGCTCAGGAGCTAAAAATCCTCCATACTAAAATCCAAGCAGGATTTTCAGCACCAGTGTATGGGCTGTGCCAGGTCTGCCATAGCCCCTCCCATCTACCTGAGGCACCCCACACTTCTTACATTAACAAGTTGCCTCTCATCTCTCTGCTTGGATTTTGGATCCCTCCTGTTTCTGGGTGACAAACTCTGGCTGAAAGAGCTACCTGCTGAAGGAGTTCAGCTTTCCACCATAAGCATAAGAGAGAACTCCTCTAGCAGCATGCATGTACAGAGATTTGAGCTCTGTTTCTGCACCCAGCCAAAGGACTCCAGCTCCTCTATGTATGAAAATCTTCAGGATTTGAACTCCATTTCTACACCCTATCAAAGGACTCCAGCTTCATCTGGCAGATAGCTCTTTCAGCAAGCCACCAGAGATATGAGGGAGTCCTCTCAGCAAGTGGCAGCAGCTTGTAATCTTCCCTGCTGGCTCCCCCATTTACTTTCTAGGGAAGCTGGCAGAGAAGATTGCAAATGATGAGCACATGACCATGGGGCAACTGGTTGCAATGTAAGTGCAAACAGGTCGTCAAGCACCCAGACTGTGTTCATGTGACTGCAGAAGTAATGGTGCAACATTTTGTGATGACTGGAAGTGCTTTACAGGCCATAAAGCGCCCTTTGAAAACCTTCATAATTCCAGATCATCATAAATGAACCAGTTGTAAGTTGAGGACTGTCTGTAAAGATATCCTCTAAATTCTTAAATCGAATTTTGACTATCCACAATCTCTTGGGAGATTGAAAGATCAGTATTTTTAGTTGTTTCTGTTGTGAATTATGTACCCCTATTTTCTATATGAAAACCATGTTGTACATCTAATAATAATAGCTCTTTTCTTAACTTCTTGTATTATGTACATCCAGAGGAGAAACAGGCTAAGTGGCTGAGAAATTTATAATCCTACAGCCATAATTCATTTTCAGAAGCTTTGTATTCTTTAATCAGCATTTTCCAAGAGCTCCTTAATATTTATTTCAGTAACAATGTTACCTTCTAGAGTCAGCTTAGATCAACTCCCTTAGCTTTTTTTCTTACTGGAACAGACTTTAATAAATTATTTTGGTATGAAATTGACCAGAAAAATACAATTGATTTTCTTTTCCAGATGTGCTGTCATAAGGCTTAGATTCTTATATTATCCTTTTCAAAATTTGTAATAAAGAGACACAATAGAGGATAAACATGTAAAAAAGATGTATTATCAGATAAAATTTAATAACAGAACAGTATTGTATATGGGAAACAATAATCCTAACAATTTCACCATTAGCCTCTCCTTCAAATGCTTTCCGTGTTGGAGACAATTACAGTAAGAAAAATGTTATCACATATGCAGACATAATAGATTCAATGAACAGATTAAAGATACAACAAGAATTATTCAGCAAAAGTCAAAATATCCTATCGTTGATGTATTTACAAAGGGCTAAAAGGATTAAATCTGATTTTAAAATGAGGAAGAGACATTAAAAAAAATGTCAGAATTTATACAAGATGATACAAGATGAACCAGGTCACCAACGAAGGAGAGCAAGTGAACCAGCAACCAAGGAAACCCGAGCCATCACCCCTGATCCAGACAAAACTGATCAAGTAACCAACCAAGCCAGAGGACCAGCAGCCATGCCAGGTACCCGACCAGAGCAAGTGATTAACCCTGACCAACACAGAGACCTACAGCTGCAGGGAAAGATCCCCCCTTGGGGGTTGAAATTCGACGGACACCCCCAGAAATTGGGGTTTTTCCTGGCACAAGTCCTGACTTATATGAAGAATATGGGTGGAACTTCCCAACCCAGGGGGCCCAAGTGCGAGTTGTCACCCTAACCCTAGAAAGGGCAGTTGCCACATGGATGGCAACCCTGCACAACATCGATGCTCCAGAGCTGCAGAATCTCAATTGATTCATGACAGTCCTAGGCTACTGCTTCAAAGACCTCCTCGCTGATCGAAAAGCCTATGATTGCATTAGGGTTGTAAAGCAGGGCTGTTGCTGAGGAATTCCATGACCTGGCCAACCGAATTGACTGGCCAGAAGATATTCTAGCCTGATGGTTGAAAGATGGACTCAATGATGACTTGTACACTGGCTGCCTGGCCTGTGGAGCCCCTAGCCACCTGCATGAATGGTACCTGATGGCAAAGGAGGCAGAGATGGACATGACCCAAAACCAGTACCGCACCAGCATGGCTTGGAGAAAATCCCCATCCCAGGGGAAGCGAGAGCCTTTCAAACCCCAAACCGCCATGGCACCAAGGCCATCTGGCTGTTTAAAGTGTGGGAGGGAGGGGCACCACACAGCAGAGTGCCATTCAAAAACCCCTGCCAGAAAGCCAGATCAGGGTGGAAACCTGGAAAACCCAACCCCTGAGGAAAAGAAACTGCTATGAGAAGCCAAGAAGCCATGGGATTTTGGTTCCCCTCCAAACCCAGAGGAAGAAACTCCAGCACCCCGAGAAGACTTGAGCCAGTCCAAAAGCGATCTGGAAAACAAACCGCTGGTAAGCAACCCAATCAAACCACTCACTCTACCCCTAAGACTGTTTATTCCCAGCTGAGGGATGGGGAAGGAAGTAGCAGCATTATTGGATTCGGGGTGCACCCGGTGCCTAATCAACCCAATCCCAGTTGGGAGATTGGGGATCCATCTAAGGAGAATGGAAAACCCCATTACTTTCTGTCAATTAGACAGGACTATAATCGGGGGGGAGCCAGCCAGTTTTGCCACAGAACCATTGCAAATAAAACTGGGGTACCATAATGAGACGTTCATGTTCATTGTAGCCCTGGGAATGGAAGGGCCATTAGTCCTAGGACTCACATGGCTACGGAAATGGAATCCAAAAATAAACTGGAAGAGAGGAACCGTACAATTCCAGAAACATGTAACATTCATGAACATCCCAAAGGGGGAAAAGAGCAGAGAAACAGCCATGGCTAGCCAGCCTGCTGAACCTACTAAGATCCCCAAAGAATCCCAGGATTTGGCCAAAGTATTTTGTGAGGAGGCATCTGATGACCTCCCATCTCATCATACCACAGATAGTGCCATTGAGATCCTGCCAGGGGCTAAACTTCCAAAACCGAAAATATACTGCATGTCCCCTAGAGCAGCGGTCACCAACTGGTGGGCTGTGAGAAAATTTTGGTGGGCCACAGAGAAATCTCACCCCCAGAGCACCCTCCCAAAGCAACTAATCCAGGCTGCACAGGAACACAAGGCTGCGCTGCCCACATGGCCCGCAAGAACCCTCCCTGCCTACTCCTTACCCGGCAAACTTGCTATTTTTCCCTTTTCTGACCATCATCTGTTCTGCTGTGCCGGGAAATTTAGATTAGCTAGGAAGCAGGAAATGGTTGAATTTCTTGCTTTCTAGCTAGTCTTTAGATCTTCAGCTCTGCTTTTAAACACAGCTGAACCTCCCTTAGGACTGAAGGTTCTATTATTCAGTGCAGATTCATGGTAGGCAAATTTTATGTGACAGACTCAGGTAGCCGATGGCAGATAGATAGATCACTGAATGTTTCTGTGAGCAACTCAATCTGCCTGCCTGCTTTGCCTGATTTTGGGTAAAAGTTGCTCTCTTTTTATAAAAAATTCAATATTTATATAAATATTTATAATATTTACATACAAGCCATGCCCAGCCAGTCACATGACCACCAAGCCACACCCACAAATTAGGCCATGCCCACAGAACTGGTTAGTGGTCCCTGGGGTTTAAAATTATGAGTTTGGTGGTCCCTGAGGTCCAAAAGGCTGGCGACTCCTGCCCTAGAGAACTAAATGAACATTTATTGACAAAAATCTAAAAAGGGGTTTCTTCGAACCTACCCGAATGAAAATAGCATCCCCAGTATTATTCCATGAAAAGAAATATGGCACCCTATGCCTCTGCATGGATTTCCATAATTTAAACACCACCACTGTGGAAAA